GGGTTATATTTAATTTTTTAGGATACTACATATATGGAAAGAAAAATCATAATCTTTAAATGGAGAGATGAAGTGTATATATATATTTATATATATGTATATATATATATATATTTATTTATTTATTTCAGTAGGCTCCAAGCCCGACTGAGCCAACCAGGTATCCTGAAGACTTGAAGTTTAAACTTGAATAACCTGGTCCAGAGACAGGCATCAATGTCAACTCCATAGTATGTCTCACTGGGGAGTTTTACACTCAAAATTCCCTTTGATTTGTTTTTAACTTATTTATAGAATGATGGACTATATTGTCATTTGATCAGCAGCCCTAATGAGTTAGGAAGTCGATCTTGAACAAGTTCCTTAAACTTTCTGGCCTCGATTTCCTTATTTGTAAACAAGAGGGAATCCAGATATCTCTGGGATGTGTGAAAAGAAAAATCTGGGAAACTGAACCCATTTTTGGTCCCTTCTGTGTTTCTAAACATCTATCTGATCTCTATAGCCCCAGGAGTCACTCGCTCTGTGGTTATTTTGTAGGGCTATCTTGCCAAGGGGCACTTATTTCCCCAAAGAGACATTAGCAGATGCTCTGCAAAGTGATCTGGAAATGATTTAAAATGCAGTAGTTCTCAGCACCGGAAGCTTTGCCATTTGCCATTGGGTTCTTTTAATGCAAGCAGGAGCGTCAGGGTAATGTTAAAACCCCATAAAACCGATGGGAACATACGGAAGACTCTCCAGCCATAAGGTTTTAGCAGTAAACAATAGCAGGTTGCTGACACAATGGGGAGAATCGGGATTAAGGTGAATATATTATCTATAAGGAAAAGCAGGGCACACTGAATCATGCACAAAGAACTGGGCAGACAGTTCCTCTTAATGAAAAAGCATTATCTAAATCCTCCCCCCAACACCTTCTGGAAAGTGTACAGTGTCTCCTCATCAAGTCTTAGGGGTACCGGGATAATAGCCTCATAGTTTCCCCCACAGTAATGGTATCTAACTCATTACTGCGCCTCCTCCACAGCTGCAGGGCACATGGTGCAGCTTCCTGTGAAGCTCATGACTATAGCTGTAACCGACAATGCCATGCCAATACATTTTAATTACTGTTTCAACAATATAATTAAGTTCTGAATTTATACACTCTTCTAACCATAGTGGTTTGCCGAGCTGAAGAAACGAATACCAATATTAATGAACCCACTAATTGAAACAGTATGCACAGTAAAGATGCCGTTACTTAAACAATATCGTTGTCACTAGTACAATAATCCTGAAATATTAACTGCAATAAGTTAGGAGGCTCATGCACTCAAAAGAAGGAGTTTTTCTCAACGGACTGTAAAACCGGGCAACCACTAACCCCCCCTGATGTGCAGGTATTTCTTTCTCATCTCTCCTCTGATCAGTGAGCTCCGCACTTGCCTCTCTGAAATGCTGCTTGTGGTCTTGTGTCAGTGTTTCATACTTTGCAGTTCTGAGTGAACAATTAATCTAATTTTCTAAGGCAAAAAGGAAACCCGTTTAAACAGCAACGTGATTCTTACTGCTTTGCAAAGATATTTTAGGTTCTTTCTTTCCAGGATTCTGAGTGATTTGGCATTGGACTGAAAAATATTAAGTGTCAGTACGATGCTGTGCTGTAAGACACTGGTTTTCATAATGCAATAGACCTACCTGTTGACTGGATGTAGCTATTTCAGCTTGAATTGCCCAATGCCTGTTTAAAGATGGTCAGTGTGACAGCAGAGTCAGCATCGGGAAGGCTGGGGGAAAATTAATATATGACCTGCACCGATGATGTTCTGAAGCTGCTATTCCCAATTGATACTGAACTTTAGTAAAATGATGGAGAAAGGGACAAATGTGCTTAGAATCTGTGTTAAAATTTGCAAATAAAAGAGTAGCATTATATTGAAATGTAAAGATTCATTTTGGGTTTATGTTTATCTATGCCAAGCTTTTACTTGAATGGAGATATAAAACAATCCTCAGACTGAAGATCTCTAATTAAGGGATTCTCTTTATGACCGAGAATGGATATTGGGCTGCCTCAAGGAGAGGGAGATCCGTTCATCTTTTAAAGGGCAGCACTCTGTTGGAATTTGCGATATAACTGTTGGGTTTGTATTATAGCTTTAGTGTTACAGTCAAAGGTTTTCTTGATTTTTTTTTTTTTTTTGCCAAATGCTGACTTAAAAAATATTTATTTTTAACAAGACAAACATAAATCATATAATGTAAGCAGATGTGATATCTAGATATTTTTTATTTAATTGTGCATTCATGATGGACATAATTCCTGGAGGTTAAATGTTTTTCAAAAAGTAATTTAAAAAATGTTAACCACAGAACAAAAACCCTGACATGCACATTTGTAGCATTGTAACTAAACAAGTCACAGTAACTTAAACGTTTATATAGTTTTCCTTAGTTTGTCTAACTGTATGAATTCAATTCAGTTTAGCAAATGATTTTTAAACATCTATCTAGTGAAAACATTAGCCTAAATGCAGTGATGGGCTTTATTTTTTTTCCCTTTGAAAGGACATAAAAGGATACACTGCAAAACAAATTCAAAAGCCTCTCTAGAGCTAACAATGAGATTAACTTTTTTATTACTGCTTCACTAATTCTGAAGGCAAACCACTAATGTGGCAACAAAGCTGCTTCACATCTTAGCTTCTTGGTACAAAGTGACCAAGTGCATGGTCTGAACTATGATGGTGGGAAGTAAAAGTGAATTGGCACATCTATTCAACAAGGATTTTGTCTTTGGGAACCACCTCCAAAATATATTTAGGGGTTTTATAAAGTAGAGGTAGAAATGGATTCAAGGGTATAGAGATGAATGTAGTTGAACGTATGATCCCCATGACGATGCACCTGTATCCTGCAGGGAGTTGTTTTCCACATTCCACCACCTTGCTGTTTGCAAGTATGTACTTGCACAGCAATTCCACTTTTCTGAGACTCAGAATGAGAGGAAAGGCAATGAGAAGGAGGCGGCAAGGAGAATAAGCTAAATAAAGAGCTGGTTTATAAATGGTCCTGTTGGTGAGTAGGAATTTTGAGTGGATAGTATTGATCGGGGGGGAGGGGCTGCTTTCTTAATAGAATGAATAGAAATAGAATGAAGTCAGAAAATACAGAGCTCTGGGTCACTAAGAACTGAGAAAAACAGTCAAAATAAGGAGGGGAAAAAAGCCTGAATGTCACACTATTCTGATATATCCTGATGACAAAAAGAAAGGCAATTTAAAGGCACAGTTAGGGTCAAGTGTATAGGGGTACTTTCACCCTGTATGCTTGTGAGAACTTTTGGATGCTGCTGACATGTTTTGTCTCCCATTGGCTGTGATCAAATCAGTATGATAAATAACCTATTTGGTCATCAACATTATCTTATTCTACTCATCAGCATCACTGCCTAGACAGACCAACAGACCCGGGGATATGGAAATTCACTTCCCTCTGCTGCTTAGATTGCTCTGCTGTCTCCAATATCACCCAACAGATGTGTGCCCCAGAGCAGAGGAAGGGAACAATTTTCTTATTCGTTGTTAGAATGACAAGTAGTCATTTATTAAATAGCCATTCTACAGAGGTATTCATTTCACTTAGTGACCAGTAACAAGAAATGCATCTCCAAAGGTGAGCAACTTATCTTTTAAAACTCGATACCCCAAGCAACATCTTCTTTAGTTTTTTAAAGCATGGTCTCCATCCTGGTGCTATTGACATTTTGGGGTAACTCTTGTTAGAACTGTCTGCATACTGTAGGATGTTTAGTGGCATCCATGAACTCTACCCACTTTACATCAACAGCATTTTCCACCCTCAGTTGTGGCAACCAAAATATCCAAATGCTACCTGAAAGATAAAATCTCTCCTAGTTGAGAACCACTGATTTAGAGCACTAAAGTGTCAAAGCATAATATTACTTCACATACAGTTAATATACTATCTTCTGGGGTAGGACATATAGAAAGAGAGCCTTGGTCATTATTTAAAATAGCTTAATACTTGGCCAAACTTTGGAAAATAATCTGGGATCTGGTAATGATACACTTTATAAGGTGTGAGGTATGGAGAAAACATTTATTTCATAACGAATGTATAAATACCCACATGTGAAAGAATCCATTCATTCAGTTTGACTATATGGGTGTGCCTCATGGATCTTTGAGTCTTTTCTAGCTTGGGTTATTCTCCCAAGCTTGCTTTATAATTATGACAGGGGAAGAGTCACCTGGCATTAATCAAAACCAGAGTGGACAAGGACAGAGAGATGGCGTGAAGAAATATTTCCTATAGAAATTCCTGGAGGGAAAACAAAAATTGATCAGGGGAAAAAGTTCACTGAGTTTTGTTGAAAGATGAAAAAGATTGAAAACAAGTGGGGGACATACAAAAGCAATTATTTTTTTACATGGTCTATCTAGGGATATCAAATGTTTAAGCCAACAGAAAGATAAAATAGCTGCGTTTCAAATTCAGCATCAAAGGTGTTTAGAAAATATAATATACTGAAAGGTATAAAAAGCCTTTGAAGAATTGTGTAAAGTGGAATGGTTAAATATAGAGTTATCTTAGAAAATAAAACCTAAGCTGAATCATCAGTGGTAGTATAAATATTTCATGCCTCTAGACTCTACATGTTAGTAATCTTTCTTTTCATAGTTATTTCTAGAATGCTCTTTAACTCTCTAAAGTTTTTTAAAATAAATTTTATCAAATTTTCGAAGTATTTTTTTTTGTTCCTGAGGATTACACAATCTTGTTTCACCCCCATATTTATTATTTGCTACAATAGTTCCTAGCTAACTTTTTTCTGTTTTGCATAATGGAATATTCCAAGAGTCAAGTATCTGGACATTATTTTACTCTTCCTGTTGAAGCATTTTAGATTTACTAGCTGAGTTGTTGCTTTTGTTGTAATATAATTCAGGGAAAACAGGTAAACAAACATTTTATGTTGTCTGAAATACTATGAAAATTAATATAAAAATTATCTTGTTGTCTTTTAAAAGTACCTTTATAAAAAAATTAGAAGATACTCGTTTGCAGTGGCTTTTTGAGGAAGAACTCGACAGAATGGAGCACTAGGCAAAACTAAAATAACACTTTGAAGTTCTTAACCTATGTTTACCTCTAGAGCATACATGCCAATCTGAGACTGACCTAGATCAGTAGTTCTCAAACTTACCTTGCAATCACAAAGAGTACACAACTGACTCCCAAGCAGGCTAAGAGCACATACATCCAAATGTCAGGAGACAGGGGGTTGAGGAAGGAGAACACTCCTGGATTGGTACCATTGGGCTTCCTGTAGAGAATGCTGATGCCCAGTGTCATGAAGGGCTTGGAGAAGTCAATGACCTTCTCCCGAACGTAGGTAATGGTAAGAGGAGCCACTGCCAGGTCAGCCTTCTGCAAAATCAAGTTCAAAATCATTGTCTTAGTTGTCTCGCTTCTCAGCAAATGTCTGGACTATATTTCTGGGTCCTCCTGATCTATATTTCTCAATTCCAAATGTTTCTCATGCAAGAAGCTTCTGTGATAATTGGCTCTAGTATGAAAACAATTGACTTCCACAGTTATGCTTGTGAAATAGTATTTATTAGCAAAGAGAAACCAGAAAGTATGAAATACACACACACACACACACACACAGAGATGTATATATATTCTGGCACTGAATGAAGGAAGAAACTAGAGGAAGATGTCTTTAAAAAGGGCATGTGAGCAGAACAAGGAAGGAACCATTTGGTCATAAAATCAGCTGAGAAGATGCGGCTTTTGCTCTGAGCTGCAAACTGTAGAAGTGTTTATCGAATTAAAGAATTATTCAGGTTTATTCTTCAGCTTGATGGATGGACCCATAAATTTTTGTCCTCAATTTGTGTCCTTACTTGCCCTTCTATGTAAGCAAACTCCATTTCCTTGTTGTTTTCTCCGACTTTTTAAGCCATTATTAGAATTCATAAAAAGGTAACATTTCTTCTGACATTGACTCAATCATTTTTTTCTCTTTTACTTCTTGCTAAGCATTTTGTCAGACACTTAAAACCCATATATGAGATATATTTTTGCTTACATGATCTATAAGTTCTTTGACCATTCCATTCCACTCTCCTTTGTCATTCTGGGCTCCATATTTGCCATCGGGGACGAGTTTGACATCATAAATGAACCCCAAGATGTTTGACAATTCCTTCAACAGATCCAGGCAATACCCTTCAAATCTGTCATTTCCATATAAGGGCTTATCAGATTTCCTATACATAACATAGGGTTCTTCCTATAGGAAACAAACCAAATACAAAACCCCTGTTATAATGGCAAGTAGAATTTACTTATATAAGCTCCATCAAAGTCAGAAGGTGCAAAATATTTGAAAATGATTATTAAGATTTCAGAGAAAGGAAGTTAGTTCCTCACCTTCCTGCCTTCCCTAAACTCATTTTCCCTATGCCCTCTACCAATACAGAACATTTCCTGTATTAATTTCTCTCCCTCTTCAGTGTGTTGTTAAGAATGTTTTCCTCTGCTGCTAAGGGCAGGGCTGTGAGTAAATAGTATGACAGAGACACAGTCACATTTGAACTTGAGGTCCGGCAATGAAGGACCAGAAATCTGAATGTTTGGTTTTCATCTGTCTCTACTCCCAGACTTTCTTTGCATGACCTGCACCCTCCCTCTTGGCTTTTACATAAGGGCTTTGTCTACTAAGAAAAAGGAAATTTAAATCAGCAAATATATCCTCTTGCTTTTCAAACTTTCTATCTACTAAATATTCTCATTTCCTCATCTCACAGTTAAATTTCATCTCAGTTTCACTATTCACTTTTATCTACATATTTTGGTTGGTTTCCTTCAGGGTATCTTATTCAAAGACTATTTCTATGTCTTCTTATATTACCAGTTCCATTTTCTTATTTGAACTCACCTCACATTTCATATTTGGTAATTCTTTGCTTATACTTTTACATAATAAATCCCTATTCTATGAATAATGGACATTTCCTTACAACCGTGTATCTTTAACCTTATTGTCATTTGGCTAAATGAAAATTTATTTTATTTTATAACATTATAATAGTTACTGCATTACTGATATGTTCTTTTACTTCTCATTATACATTTTCTTCAGACATTTAAGACCCATTTAGGCTTATCCTCAAACAAACTAATAGAAATAGAAAATTCCACATTTCTATGAGATAGTTGCTGAGGAAGTAGTCACCAGAAAAACAAAACCATTTTTATTATGGATGAACAATTCTCAAAAGTTAATGGGCTGAATCAAATAAAGCAGGAATGTCTGAAAGTGAAGATTTTATAGGTGGCCTCTCCTGTCCTTGATTCCTTGGGTTAGGATTGGAAAAGAGAAAGAATGCACAATCTGGGGATATACCATGTCTGGATAGGGGTATTATCAGGGCTCTAATAGGAAGGAGGAAGTACCCTTAACTGGCCTTTTGAAAAACTTCTTAGTAAAGGGGTTATTTATAAAGGAGTGATCAAGGCAAAGGGAGCCAATAGGAATGAAGGTGGGAGGAACGGTGGGGTATAAACATCCAGGGACCAACATAATCAGGAAACTTATAGCACTTAGGGCTAAATCAGGTAGGAGGAAAGAGTGCTCCTGGAGTCCAGGACAGCAGAGCTCTGGAAGCAAGATCATGAACAGAATAGGAGCTGTGGTTATGAAGGACAGAGGTTCTGAGAAAACCATTGGAGGCAGGGGAAGTAATGTTCTTATTTCTCTTTTTTTACTTCTTTAGTCCCTTGCCAGAATCTCTCCTCAGTTGAAACCAATCAGCAGCCAGAGAGCAAGGGAGACTAGCTGAGTGGGGCCAGAAAGTGGGAGCAAGACAGAGCTGAGAATGGATTGAAGGTGGGAGATATTCAGAACATTGATGGAAGCTTCTAATTTAACGCAATTATGGACATATACAAACATAAATTTTTCGTGTCCTAATTAAAAATAGACATTTGCAGACAAAGTTGTTGGCATGAAAAAGATGCTGAAGAATTCTTCAAACTCTAGGGTGGGAATCTGGATAAGATACCCTGAATTCCACATAGTCAACTTACCAAAATGGTGGTGACGATGAGCGTTCGGTTGGCTAGTGAATCAGTGATATTGTTGGACCTGTCTTTGTTGCCATCAGTCATGTTAAGCCCACTGTTGGAGTTCCAAATCCCAATCTATACGGAACACAATACATCAGAGGCTGCTGGTTGTCAGTGACCCCATTTACATTAAGGAGTAGCCCCTTCTATACCAGGAATGGACATAAAAGCTTAGAGTCTGGGGAGAAGACACCAGGGCATCACACTGAAGCTACTCACTGTGGGAAAATGAACAATGAAGGAATGAGTGTGCCCACGGGACAGGGAAAATTAGTGTCATTTGAGATACAGTAGGGAGAGGTCTTTTTGTTTGTTAATTTATTAAACTCACTATTCTTTTTTAAATTAAGAATTCTTAAATGCAGATTTTTCTTCCAATATGTGTTTGTTGAGCACCTATGCTATGCGATACCTTGTTTGAGGCCTTGGATGACATAACAATGAATCAAAGAGACAAAATTTTCTTCTCTAGTGGAGCTTACATTCTAGTGATAGAAACCTTATGTTGCCAAAGTGGTACCATTGGTGTTTCTAAAATTGATAAAGAATGGGATGAAAGGAGCAAGGTGGATGATGGAGAGATGGGGCATATATAAGGGAAAAAATAAATGGAAGAAAAAAAAAGTGTGGATAAATAGTAGACTAAGTTCTGATCCTGTCTTCATTGAGGAGCCAGTGCTGGGCAGGAGTGCCTGCCATGAACTGTAGTAGCACTGCTCATACCTCTGTTATGGGCTTATCCTCTGTTAATCTTCTGTTTACTTGTTATGTCTGTGCACTTGACTATGAACTCCTTTAGTGAGGGTATTCTTTTTTATTGTTTATTGATCTATCACAGAACCACTCATGGTGATTAGTAGTCAGTGAAACCCAACGATATTTTAAAAAGTAATGATTTATGGCTTTCTCCAGTGGCCAAGTCACTCCTGGGTTAGACGGCCCTAAAGAAGTACATTGATTTGTTTAGCTTTTGGAGGAAGTCAGGAGAAAAGCCTCAGGGAAATGAACTATTTATCTGAAGCCTTCTGTAGGCATTTATTGCCAGCCTGGTGAGACAAACGGAATGCAGACATATTTCAGAGCCAGGCAAAGCCAACAACTATGTGACCTTGGGCAAGCTGGTAACCTTTCTCTTTCTGAGCTTTGGTTCTCTAACCATAAAGTACATCATCTGGATATTCAGAAGACCAAACGAGAAGATCCACATGAAAGTGTTGGTAATTGTTAAAAGCTACACATTGATAATAAAGGGCATTCAAATAACTGGCCCAGTAACTTCTTCAAGCTTGCCCTGTTGTGAAGGATTTTGGATTGTGAGGGTGTTATTTATTTATTTATTTATTTATTTATTTATTTAAATTTAGAGGCAGATGAAGTATAGGATCCATGAAGGGCAGGGACACTTGAGGAACACTAACACTTGGACAGACTCTGGGATGGATGAAGTAGACCTACACTTGATCCCTGAACACATTTTCCCAATGGGAGGAATGGGAGGAACACATTGCCTGCCTGGGCAGAAAGTCTTGCAGACAGACTTTTGTCCAGATCTTAGCTTTGCAATGTCCCAGCAATGTGATCTTGGGCAAGTTCATTAACCCTGCTGTGCCTCAATTCCTCATCAGAAAAATGGAGATAGGAGGGCTTTTTTGATGATTAAATATCACCAGTGGGAATGTTAGACCTCTTCTTTCCTTTTCTGTTTCTTTACTTAGATTTATTGCTTAAATACAGCAGCTGGAATTCATTTAGCTTGACAAATACTCTTTTAAGACATGTAAATTTTTTGAGGAAGTTTCAAGGACTATCACACATTCACACATCAGTGTGAACTATTTCAATGTCACTCTTTCCTTTCTATACTTAGTAAGAGTTAGTTGGCCAATGAAATAAGGAGACAGGTCTAGGTAAATGGGGGCTTTGGAAGTATTTTGAGCCTGACTGTAATGAGGTTACTAGATGTAGGCTTGGGTTGTAGGACAAAAGCTCTAATAACCATTCAGTCTTTCTACTGTCAAGGGTGATGCCTGTCATAGAACACACACAATGCACATAACATCTTTATGTTGAAGAATCTTCAGATTTCCTTGGTTGTCTTTAAACCCAGGAGAGGAGGACAACTTTTTCTCTTCTCTCTTCTCAACCTGTACCTCTTCTTCCACTTTTTTGAGGCAAATACCCTTGTTTCTAGGAAATATAACTCAGGCTAAACACACTTGGAGTCTATTGGTTTTCATCCAAAGCTATGCTTTAGGTTGTAAGCAATTGACTTCGAACTCAATGAAGGCTGTTTGTAAGTTGGGCTCTGGCTATACTTCTAATTAAAACTTGACTTAGGCACTGGGGAGAATGGAACCTAACTTTTAATTAAGTAGAAAAGTGGAGAAAATAACTGTGTTTATAGCCAATTTGTTAAGTAATGGAAGGTGTTCTCTTTAACTAATTTCTATTAATGTCAAGGGTGTATTTAAGGGAACTCTACTAATATTTGAAAATGGCAGTGTTGAACAGCCTCACAATATCATTCTCTTTAAACATACAAACTTGAAACTGTAGACAAATGCACTCCACAGCTCAATGTCTGGCTTTTATTTCTTTTGCCAGCCCTGCCAAAAGTAAGGAGGTCAGATACCATTGCTGCAGCATTTCCAGTCAACTGGGTCCTAGAGTCCCATTTAATGTGAACTTTCTTTCATAAGATGAGAAAATGGAGAATATTTTTTTTCTTACTATTTGTGTAACAGAGCTCCCTTCAAATCTGGACTAAAAGAGTATCAAACTACAGTCTTGACTGTAGTCAAGGTTATTCCCACGTTATTCCTAGGAAGTAGACAGTATACATATGCAGTTTGAATGACCACAGCCTTCGATTTCAAATTGTTTAATTAGCAAAACAGAATTCATGTGTGTGTGTGTGTGTGCGTGTTTTGAAGCTAGTCAACTTACTTTACCTGTTAATTAAATAGACACATCAGCTTTTCAGAAGAAGTAAGATCTTATGAGTCATGTGCATTGGGGGGCGAGGGATACAGTTATCCAGATGCCTAGACATCTAGCATTTCAGTCTTGTTCTCTGACCTTGGAGGAGTGCCTCCAGGAAGCAGAGCCTCAATTTTCAAACCATAGAGCAAAAGCAGACAGCAGTAATTTACCAGTGAGAAGTAGCAGAGGGTGGATCAATTATTCGTGGGGAGGAACACTCAAGAGCTAAATTGTCTGGTCCTGCCTTCTTTCACTTTGTAAACGGGCATGTGGGAGCAGCCATTTATTATCTAGGACAACCAAGGGAAGCCTCTGAAAATGAGTGCCCAAATGACATTAAGCAAACTTTTTTTTTTTAAAGCGACACAAGAGGGTGTTCAGAGGGTGACTAGTATCCGTTTTCCAAACCTACCGAGCGATTCACGTAAAGTCAAAATCCAACATTGCTGAGTGAAATATCAAGTATTTAGGAAAGAAAATAACACTTGTCTGTTTCTTGTATCATGAGACTTATGAACACATATTCACAGACTTTGCAAAGATCGCTACATCCTCTTTTGGAAAAAAATTCTGGTGGACTCTTCTACCCTCAATACGGTCAGCATGCAAAGAGCTTTCCGAATTTGAATGTAAGTCTTGTTGGAAAGGGACAGTAGGTCTTACGTGCTAGAGCTCAGGTTACTGTAAATTGTTGATAAGAAGTCAACGCAAAACAGCACATCACAGTATATGCAACTTACAGTGTGGGCAATGATAGGTCTGCAGGAAGGAAGACACACAAAGGCATGGAGCTGTATCCCAAGGAAGTGTGTGCGGGTAATTATTGCAGTTTAGTGACAAATAGAGGACATTCCCCTCCCCTGCATGTGATTTCAGAGCTTGGATTCCATTCCCTAGGATATTTGGTTTGAATTAATTCAACATTGCATAAAGTGCCTGGAGTCTCAAGCTGGATTAGTGGAATAAGCTTCTTTCTGGGTGCCAGTTAGGTTCATCTATTTATTAGCAGTGAGGAAACCAGATTGCCTTCTTTCTCTCTGCCTTTGGTAGCCTGATTCATTGAAGATTAAAACAAGGTTATTAAACCTATGTGTTTTAAACTTAAAAGGACATTTTTGAAATCATCTACTGAGTACTACCAAGAGAGAGACAAGCTTTTGGACCACAGGGAAAGACTGTTTACACTCTCCATGACCTACGTGATAATTTGCAAGATAAAAGTGAACCTGACAAAACCCGCTCAAGTCAAACAACCTGAAATAATTCAAGTTGCATCTGTCAATCAGATATTTTAGCAATTAGGTTGAGGGAGTGAGAGAGAGAGAAAATGAAAGACAATGTTTGCATATCACTGGGATGTTTTCCTGAACCAAATGTTTTTAATGCCTAACATTTGCTTATACAATAAATCTGTGCACATTCATTGACAACATGATACTGTACAATAAGCTATGAAATAGGAGGTGTTAGAATTTACAAGATCATCTCATTTCCCTTCCAACATCTCTAATGTTTTTGTCCTCTGGAAACTGGTTCTGAAACGAATTGCCAGACAATATGCACTGACAAAGATCCTACGCAAAACAAAGCTAGCTCCTAAGAGAATGGAAATTCTGAAAATGGCTCCTGTTTTATGGTGGTGACACTGAGGGAGATGTCTTATCCTGGCCTTTTGAGCCTTAGCCTATCTGACTAGTCTGATGGATCAAATCTACTGCTGTTTTCATGCCCCGTAGGGAAAATATTTAGTGATTTGAGAAGAAATATAAATGGACCAGTGTCTGCCTCTATTGCAGTAACCTGCTTTCAGCCCTTACTGGGATTGAGCCTGCTTGGGAGAAACAAAAATAACCGAGGGGGAAATATTTAATCCATCACTACTTAATCCATCTCAGGCTGTTTTCAATTCTTGGGTCATGTGGTTGCAAGACAACATGTTCAATCACCCCGTTCTCCTTTCATATCAACTGCATCGCCTCTAAACCGCAATTAGGAGATCTACAGGTCTGGCAAAACTGCAGAGGCCCAGGCCTCTTCTCTGACATTCCCCACCCCACCCCCAGAGGGCCTGCAGTTTTTGTCCGAGTACAAACCTTCTTCCACACTTTATATAAGTGTTTAGACACTTCTCCAGCAGCCTTGGTTTTCGGAGGGAAAAATAAAAATAGCACTTAATTAACATGGAGCATGGAACCCAGAAGGTATCACGGTGTGTGAGTGCTCAGCGTATGACATTCCCCACCCACCGTTTGGAACCTCACACGGTCATTCAACATGAAGCCTGAACAGAGACACAGCAAAGGGATTACTAAGCACTTGGGTCTCACAGAAGTTACTTCCACTTGGTAGTACAGCCTGATGTTCACTTTTCCTTTCCCATACCAAGAAGAAAAAAAAAAAAGATATAAAGATCTTTTGAACATGCACAGCTTTGCTGCAGAGTGAAAGGGTCTTCATCATTCTTTAGAAAGGCCTGTTCAAGGTATTCATAAACAGAATCAATCCTCACATGCACGCAGGCACACACACGTTATTCCTAAGCAAGAAGAAAGCACGCTACGCTTGATGACATGGTCTTTGATTATGGGCCTCCAGGCAGTAGGAACTTGAGTGGAAGTGAAAAAGTGGGCTTTTTCTAACAATTTTCTCTGTGGACCCCGTGAGAGGCTGACATGAAAAGATTGGGCATCTCCTCCCGTGGCTCCTGAGAGAGATGGGCTGGCTTCCCCAATGCCTTAAGGCCCAGTCATTCCTTCTAGGAATGGAGCCCAAGTCACCTGAGGAAAGAAAAGTTATTGCAAACAATGAAGAGATAAGAAACAAATCGAGAAAACACTTTCATCTAATTTGATTTTGCCTTTGATGGAAAAACACCAATGGAGTGTGCATACTATTGCTGCGTATAAAATAGCTGTGAAGGCGGAACGATCGCTCCATCTCTTTCATCACACATTGGAGCCAGAACGATGTTTCCTTAACAGCTTTTCTTCCCCCTTCAGTTCTATACATTAACAGGGTGGAGGGGGGAGAGAGGCATGCACAGGGGAGCAGACTTTTTTTTTTTAAACAGCCTTTAGAGGCTTTCAGTTCCTAAAAGTATTCTTTTCTTTGGTGGCCACAGACAGGATGGAGGTGAGATGGGGGCCCTGTGCTTGGCCAGACATGTTAAACTAACAAACCAGCAAATCTAAGTGAAGAGAACCCAGACAGAGAGAGAGAGACAGAGAGAGAGAGAGAGAGAGAGAGAGAGAGAGAGAGACAGGGACAGAGAGAATTAGTGATGGAGAGAGAGAGCCAGGGAGACCCAGAGAGAGACAAGGAGAGACAAGTAGAGAGAGACAGAGACAGAGAACAGAGAGACAGAGAGCCAGGGAGAGACAGAGAGAGACAAAGAGAGACAGGTAGAGAGAGAGAGAGGGAGAGAGAGAGAAATACAGAGAGACAGAGAGCCAGGGAGAGAAAGAGAGACAAATAGAAGGAGAGAGAGAAGGACAGAGAAAAATTCAGAGAGACAGAGAGAGAGAGAGAGAGAGAGAGAGAGAGGGAGAGGGCATTTTCAAAAAATGGGAACCTGCTCAGATGATGCGTACCCTCAAAGCCACAAACTAATTATTTTCCTCAAACATTTCCACACCAGTGGTCACCATCTATTACATTCGGCCTAATTAATCTTTGTTTGTTTTAATTAGGCTATTTGGGGATGGGACATAGTCAGGACCTTTTAAAAAAAAATGTCTCAGTTAACAAAAACAACAGAGCAGAAATGGAAATCTTATCTCATTTTAAAAATCAGCCCCAACATTTCAGTGAAGTGACTGGTTGCCAAACCCACTCTTCTATAGGAAACATACCTTCTTGTGCACTACAGTGAAAAAAAAAATGTTGGATTACAGAGTTTTGGATTTCAGATGATTGTTTTGGGTGTTTCAAAACCCTTTTTTTTTCCTTTAATGTCCTAAAGGGCAAAATCTTCACAATATAAGTGTTAATTAATTCCAGCACATAACTGTGAATAATAAAATTAGTATAATACACTGTGGAGCCAAATTCTATTATTATTATTATTATTATTACCATCATCATTATTTAAATAGTCCACATTTGCATTACTCTAAATTAGCTAACATGGAACTTAGAACTTTGTGAGATTAAGAATTGCAACTAAAATAATCCTAAAATCAGAACCCAGCTTGAAAATGCTTTTTTTTTTTCGGTGTATTTCTTCCTAAAATCAAGGACCCAGTAAGCCCTTTCTCTTCTACTTTAGTCTATCCCTCTATCAACCTCAAGCACAAATGAAAATTCACTTCTGAGTAAACCTGGACACCATTCCATAGATAAGTCGATGGCAAACTCCTTGTTTTCTAAGTCTGAACTCAATTTCCAAAAACCTTTGAGAGGTGGGGTGTCATTAGCCCCATAGGGCCAGATGCCATAATTATGCCTGCTTTATAAACCAAGCACTAGATAAATGTTAGCATTGCTATCAAGGACATACAATTTCAGAATCTAGCGTGTCAGCATCTATCAGCAGAGCAGGGGGCGAGAGAGCTAGAAAACTGGACATAAATGGACATGCTAAGAGAATCATTTTGTCAGTCTGCTCCTTGTAGGTGCAATTAAAATGCTTGAACAGTGCTCCTTATTTTATTCTTAAATTTATTATTGAGCAGGTTACCTTTTCAGTTCCTTCCTCTTTGAGGCTAATAATGTCCAGATCAAAATCCTTCCTCAAACCATCGGTTTTATTGAAAGTGATACGCCCAGTCAGGCCATCCCAGCGAGCCTATGGACAAAAGGAACGTGGCATTACTGTTTCACACTTATCATAATCCTCGCACCATCAAAATGGTAATACCTCAAATTCATCACGGTATCCAATTATTTGGTTTCATCGTGGTGTTAGAAAGCGTGGCATTGCTTCAGCAGCTCGATGGCAGGACACGTCCCCATTTTATTAGCACTCATTTATTTTGTGAGTCCAAATGTCTAAAATCAGTCAAATCTGTGACAGTGACAGTTTAAATGGGCAGTGTGGAAGGAAAGACTGTAAAACAGTCTGCACGAGGAGTCAACAAAGTCTGGGAAGCCTAGTATTCTGTTCTCCAAGGTCAAGTCAAATCCCTTTCAAGGTATTGCCCAGGGGAAGCATTGCCTCCCCCACTTTTTTTTTTTCACTGTGAAAAGGGTATAAATAATCCAGGGATGTATTAACGAATTTTTAGAATGTTCAGGATTTAGGTCTTCCGATGTCATTTGGCTTAGTTTCCTGTCACTGCTGTCGCAAATTATCACAAACTGGGTGACTTGAAACAACAGAAATTTATTCTCTTATAGTGCTGGAGGCCAGGAGCAGACATCCAAAATCAGCAACACTGGACAAAACCAAAGTGTCAACAGGGCCATGCTCCCTCATGGAGACTCACGGGACACTCTGTTCTTGACTCTTCATATTTCTGGTGGCTGCCAGCAGTCCTGGTCCTGTGGCTCTATCTCTCCAGTCTCTGCCTCTGTGGTCACATTGCCTTCTCTTCTCTGCAGTCTTTTTACTTGTCTCTTATACATGCGATGACACTTAGGGCTCACGTAGATAATTTAGGATAGTCGTCGTATCTCAAAACTCCTTAATTTAATTATAAATGCAGTTTTTTTTTTTTTTTGCTATGAAAGATAACATTTACACATTCTAGGGATTAGGACATGGATATCTTTTTGGGGAGTCATTATTCTGCCTACCACATACATCCACATCATTTTAAAAACTAAAAATCACAGCAGTCTCCCCTTCACAGAACTCACACTGGACATCTTTGGTGGTTTCATTAAATAAAAACTAGTGGCCCCGGAATTTCTTGAGCTTTGATCTCTAGGTGATTTTTGGCAATCTTGACTAATTTGAGTTGGCTTACAAATGAGGATAGAGGGGGACTCAGTCTTTTGTATCTCCCTAGCTGTTTTTTTTCTCCTGACTTTACCAAAATCACTGGACATTTGTAAAATGAGAAGAAAATCCTGAAAGATATACTCTAACTGCTATGTTCACACCATGTGTACTGTTGACTCTATTTACCCACTTGGCCAAGAGTCAGAGCAAAGAGCATGAGTTTATTGCAGAGCTGGGTTTGAATTCAGGCAAGCCACTTAACCTGAACCTGGGTTGTCTCAAATCCAAGACACAAATCTGAGTGTCTGATCCATGCAGGGTTTCTGTGAGATTTAAGTGGCACTTCACACAATTCTTAACTCACTGAAAGCATAGAAAATGTAAACAATGATTATTTTGACAACTATCCCTTATTATCCTTCCCACATTCCTCACAAACTCCAGGGTTTGACTTTTATTACCTCACCTGGCAGGACTCACATGTGTAGTCTTTTCTGATCTCTTCAGTATTACATTTTACAAACCAACATCAGATTCATTGTCCCAAAATGCAATTCTCATAATCATGCTATTTCCCAGCATGTAAGGTACAATAATGGATTCATGCCACCTATAAATTAGTCTACACCTTGACTTTGCATTTGAGGTTGTGATGGTTAATTTTATGTGTCAACTTGACTTAGTCGTGGGATATTCAGTTATCTGGCTAAATGTTATCTCTGGATATGTCTATGAGAGAGTTTCCATTTGAATCAGTAGATTGAATAAAGCAGATGTCCTCCCTAATGTGAGTGGGCATTATCTAATCCATTGAGGGCTTGACTAGAACAAAGAGGCATAGGAAGGGGAAATGTGCTCTCTCTGTCTGACTGATTGAAGCTGAGACTTTGGTCTTCTGCTCTCAGGCAAGGATTTAACACCACTGGCACGGCTGGTTCTCGTCTTCTCTGTGCCAGAAACTATCTCAGAATATAGCACCTAGCAGTTTCCAGTTTAGTTGGAACCAGAACATTAATGTACTTCAATGAAGCAAAGATTAGCACATAGCGATTGAGGGAAGAAGTATGGGGAAGTAGTACTGATCCCAACTGCTCAGAAAGAAAGACTAACCAAAAAGACTCCTGTAGGAAAGAATGCCTAAGATCTCAAAGGATGAGAAATTGGCCGAGCAAAGATTTACAGCCTGAATAATAAAGCATGAAATACAGAAAAAAGTTATGCCTGCCATGGATGGATCCATAATGCAAGGTAAGGAATGGTGAGAAATGGGCCAAGGAAAGGGGTGGGTGGAGACACTTGTTCTTCTTCTTCTTCTTTTTTTTTTTTAAAGATTTTACTTATTTAATTGAAAGAGAGACAGAGAGAGAGAGCATGAGCAGGGGGAGGGACAATGGGAGAAGGAGAAGCAGGCACCCTGGTAAGCAGGGAGCCCGATGCAGGACTCCATCTCAGGACCCCGGGAGCATGACTTGAGGTGAAGGCAGGCAGTTAACCACCTGAGCCACCCAGGTGGCCTGAGAAATTGCTCTTAAGGGGTCATGAATCATGCTACTTTGCTTGGACTTCGCTCAATAGACATGTGGGAATCATCAGTATGCTTTAAGCTTAGGAGTGTCATGGGCAGATCTCTAGAGAGATCATTTTAGCAGAACTAGGGGAAGATGACTCAAAGATCACAAGCAGAGGATTGAACTAGCAGGTAGTTCTCACAGAACAAAATGAAGCCTATTCACATACCCACATATGAACATAGGGACAGCACAGCACAATTCCTTCATCTCCCTGTCTCACCATCTTGCACACCATTAAGTATTAATGTAAATACTTCCCTAGCAGAGTGGCCAGGTTCATGAAGAAAGTATTGCCATTAAAGTTCCTACAGAAAGAATAGTGAATGGAATCAACAAAATTATCAGGGTCCATCTTAACCCAGACGTATTTTCTCGCTACCATGCAGATGGAATGGAAATCATGTCAGAGGTAAGTTTTATCACTTGATAATGCTGGAAGTTAAATTCATATCAGGAAATGATACATGGGCTCAAGAAGCCTTCAGCTCTCATCTAAGCCATCTCTATAGCCAAACTAGATGTCAGTTAGTCAAATGCAGTATCACATAAATATTTCAGGTCCTTGAACTTTGCCTCCAGAGTTTATTGCCAAGGGAGGTCATAACGCCAAACGCTAGCCCCAGCTTTGAAAAAGAAATGGCATATTTTTACAGTTGACAGTAATACCCGTTGTTGTTACACTTGCTAAAATACAGGTAATCACATTCTCTGCACTGGGACAAGAAAAAAAAATCAATATTGAATGTAAGTAGAGAGAGTTCTCTCCTGTGTATATTTAGGTACACCTCCTGGCATTGCAATCTCCTTTTCCGCCTCACCATATCCCAAACCTACTTTTTGTTCTCTGGTCACTTATTATTTTGCAATTCAAAGGCTGGTTTCGTGGACTGATGAGTTAAATGAGTGTCTCTAAGACGAACTACTGCATTAGTGTCATAGCATCTGTCTGACAGTGGAAGACAATTTGTCCAAGACTTTGGTTGGGTGGAGATCTGTACTGTGTTAGGGGTTTGGACTCAATCATTTTTCAGGCCCACCCTTCACGCTTCTCAAATGTGCAGTTTAAACTCTCCTCCTGATCTGTGTGGAAGGAGGCAGTTTTCTTCATTAAAGTTCTACAGGATTTTCAGAAAGCTTTTTCCTACAGGCAACTTTTCCTTCTTGGGGGTCATGCTGTGAGTCAATTCGATACATTGTCCAGAGTTTAGGGAGCTCTCTGAAAATGGGCAGAATTGGTAGCATTTATCTCTTGATGTCGCATATTGCTCATAGCACGGTCTTAAAATCCAGTTCAGAAATCCAATTTCATTTCCACTAAATGTGTCTATTGTGTCCCTTTGTTTGGATTCTGTTGCATTGGTTTTATTCTTGAATTTAGTGTTCCAGTCACTGGTGCAGTGTAATTCCCACTTCTCGCTTCTCCTCCCTGCTCATCCAAGTGGCAAAAAAGTTCCTTTTTCATGCTCTAACAATGCTTCCTTCCTTGCCTCAAATATCTACAGACTCCCTGCCTGATTCTTTACTGAACTGAAATGCCTTTTGACCTTCAAAGTCAAACTTCTCTTACTGACATAATTGCCTTGTCTTTCTGCCCTTATCCCTAATGAGCATTTCTATATATGTTCTTTGTTTTGTTTTTCAAAGTAATGTTGATTAACATTTATTGATCACCAATGTATTATTGATTAGGGTGAACAGATAGTGACTAACTCCTGGGTATGAGGAATAAGATCCATAAGGAATCCATTTTCTGGGGCAAGGCTGAACCATATACAATTTAGATAATGATATATAATTATATTAGTCATAATTACAATTTGTTTGCCTTATGTAGAAGCATTTGCACAGGGGACAATTACAGTATACTTAGCTGAAAACAATACTTAAACTATTGTCCCTATTTTAGGAAATAGCTTTAATTTCTACCCTGCATAAGACTTCTTGACAACAATTGTCTAATAGCAAGTGAACTAAATGGTGTGACTTTTTCCTTTTCTCTTATTGAGCATGTTATCTGATGGCCAAGAGACAGAAATCAAGAGCTGAACGAAGAAAAACAAAAGTTTTCATTAATGTCTTACTTTTATGCTCTTTCTCGAGATGATCTTTACTATCCAAATAAAAAATATATATATTTTAGTTTTGAGGAAGTAAGTGGCTAGTACCTGCCTAACAATAGGCTCTTGTAATAGTCAATTTTTAACTTCATTTTCTTAAAATGATTGTTATTGTTCTTTTTTTTTCCTAAATGGGACTTAAATATATAGAAGCACATAAAGCCCCCTTTTTTAGAATTTTCCCTGATGCAGCCATTCCTGTTTACCATGGGGA